AGACATAGGAGACCACTCAAGCAATTCTATCCTCATAAAAGGGAAGTTGTACTAGCATACAATGCTATGTTCATATTATCAGGCATAACCGAAACAGGCTATCCTACTGCTGACTACTCTATGTTAGCATGCAATTCTTATAAGGCTGAAACACATAAAGCAGACATATAAGGCATCCTCTTAGATCCTTAGTTCTATACTAGCATGTTGTTCTACTGAAACTAAAGCTGATATTCACAACATAACTTGTATGGGTAATTTGGGAGTACTTACTTGAGCTCGGCTGATCGCATGCACCACACCCCTTTTCTCTTTTCAAAGATCTTACCTTTCTTAAAAAAATTCTTTTTACTTTTCTAAAACTCTTTTCTTTTGAAAAACATTTTACCATTTCCTTAGTTTGAGTTCAGACACACCCGAAAGTGTGCCCAAATCCCTCAAACCAAGGCTCTGATACCAACTTGTAACATCCCAAAATACGACCCAAATTTTTTGTTTAAATAGTAATAAAAATCATATACTGATTGTCATATCATAAAAACCATACGTCAAATATCTCAACTCATAATAAAATGTCGTGAAACAACTGTATCAAATCAAACTACGAATCAAAACAAACTCCCAAGAATAAGACTGAGGCTATGGTGTGTGCGATGCCATCATCCCGAGCTCTTCCCCTTACTTGTGGAAGTACCTGAAACCAAAACTAAAACTGTAAGCACGAAGCTTACTGAGCTCCCCCAAACTACCACATACCATACAATAACATATAAGCACGTACTGGGCCTTGCCCACTGCATCGGGCCGAAGCCCGAAAACTACATCGGACCGTAGTTCGGAACTGACTGGGACCTTGTCCCCTGCATCAGACCAGTGTTCGGAACTAACTGCATTGGACCGGAGTCCGGAACTGACTGCATCGGACCAAAGTCCAGAACTAAATGATCATAGCATAGCATAACACATATCTACTAGCATAACACATATCATTTAGCATAAACACATATACTGCATACTGCATCGGACCGTAGCCCGGAACACATATCACATAATACTGTCTGAGTCACAAAGACATCAAACATACTGACTACTGCATCGGACCAAAGTCCGGAAACTACTGCTAACTAAACGAGCCGGTATTGTGGCCTTAGACCCGTTCCTACTGGAAGGAAAACTCACCTCGTAGCCTAGCTGCTGAGAGGACTGCTCCGGAATCTGTCTGTTGCGGTTCCGGTTTCACCCCGGCTATAATATCCATGAGCACCATCAATCAAATACTACTAATAATAATAATATTGAGGGTAAAATAACTCTCCTACCCCTGGTCCAAGTCCACCTAACTGTCAAAGTCAACATTCAGTTGACCTGACTTGTCGAGTTGGGTCGCCAGGTCGTCGAGTTCTTACTCTTACTTTCTTGATTCCTCTCGCTACTACTCGTCGAGTTTTGGCGCAAACTCGGCGAGTTCCTCTTCGCTACTAACACTCCGGCAATCTGTATCCGACTCGCCGAGTTGTATGAACAACTCGTCGAGTTCTCCTTCATCAGATGATCATTCTAGCTGTGACTCGTCGAGTTGTATGAACAACTCGTCGAGTCTGTTCAGGGCATTGACTCACCGAGTTCTTCCACGAATGAGTCTAACCCTCTAGCTCACCGAGTCCACCTCTCACTCACTGGTTCCACTCGGCATAACTCGAAATAGGAAACACAGGGGACTCGCGACTCGACTCGCCGAGTCAGAAGAATGACTCGTCGAGTCGTATGTATGCAAACATTATATACTCGATTATGCTTGAAACCAGTCCATACCATTAATAGATCTGGGTTCCTGGGACTTGATTTACACGTAAAGTTTCCAACTTTACGTGTAAATAACATCAAATGAAGGTTTTAAGGTTCAAAGCACACTATAATAGTAGATCTAGAGCTTTCATGCAAAATGGGTCCCTAAAGGTGATAGATCTAAGCTTCTGGAGTTCAAATCTAGCTAGATCCGAAGGCTAATCAACTCCATGAGTCCTCTATGCTATTATTAAGCCAAGAAATGGTTCAAGAATGGCTTCAAAAAGGATATTTAAGCATAGAAACAGAAAAGGGCCAATATATACCTTACTTTCTTCTGAAATTCCTCAAGGATCTAGGATCTCCTTCTCCTCTTCTCGATCTACCTTCCTTTATTTCTCAAAATCTTCAAAGAACACACCAAAAACACACAAAATGTAAAGAGGGCTCTAGGGTTTCGAGAATGATGCTCGAGGGGTGATGGGGGCTGACTTGAGGCCCCAAAAGTTGTTTAAATAGGGTGCAAACCCTTGAAATCAGGGTTTCATCCAGACTGGCGGACTCGCCGAGTCCGGAATATGGACTCGTTGAGTTGCCAACTTAAACGTGCTCGAAATCGCGACCCTACTCGACGAGTCCGGCTACCGACTCGTCGAGTCCCCCCTTAAAACTTGAAGAAAATAACAATAAATAGAATATAAATATCATACCAGAATCGGGGTGTTACAGAAATAGAGTAGAAGAGTGAATGTGATTCTTACTAACTTAGAAGAAATGTTAGTGTATGCTAGTGTAGAGTGTATGTGATATAATTTTCTATTAGATTGACTCCTTGAACTTTTTTTTTTTTCCTTTGTGCTATGAGAAACCTATATTGATATTAATTAACTATTAATCAAATGTGTTAGGTTACATGCCACTAAAATTAAATAGATTTAGAATGCTTGATTAGGCTCTATTGTGCTACCCGCATTTGATTCTAACCGTTGTAGTGCATGATCTTTCAATCGAAAGATTTCTCAATTTTAGTTAATGCAATTGTATTCGTAAGAATGTTAGTTAACATTGTTAAAAGTTTCTTTTGTGACTGTTTACTCACCGTTTTTTAACTTGTATTCTGACGATTGAATTTTGGAAGCTCTTATATCCGGAGAGGCACGCAGGGTGGTTAGAATGTGATGTAAATTATATTAATAGGTTCTTGTTATGTACTACTCATTTAATAACAATACTCACTTTACTGCAAAAATTTTGATTGACAGTAAATCATGTTGGTGATCTCATTATTGATATAGCGTAGACAGGATGACGGTCGATGGACAGTTGTGTTGTCAGCTTTCATCAGCTTTCATCACTGATACATTTGATTGGAGTGACATGACTGGCAGATCCGTTTACCTAACTTAGGTAGACTGCGATACAATATAATTGTGTTTAGATTACATTACCTAAGTATTTATAGACTGTAATGTGATTTGGTGATTAATTATTTCTAACATTTTTTTTTTGTAGCTTTACATCCCAATCAATATACCAAATGCTTACTGGTTTTTGGGTGCTTTGGATTTGAAGACATTCAAAATGACTATATATGATAGTTATTGGAAGAGCAACTACTCTTCAGAAATTGAGAATTGGTTTATTGGTATGCGAGCCTGCATTCACAGACTGCTAGTCGGTATCAACTACTTAGGTAGTGAACCAACTGAGTCAATTCCACTTGAGATTTTGAACATGACACTCGAAAAGGCCCTACAAGTACCTCAACACATTGATAGTAGAGAGTATTGTGAGGTGTTTTTGTGTTGGTTCCTAGAGACGTTGATCATCAAGAAATTGTATTTTATAGAGGATATAAGGGGTCCATGGGCTATGACATATCGTTAACGATTAGCCTATTTTTTTGAGGGGTAGAAGGACAAAGATGATTTGAACATTGTATAATTATTTAAAACAAATCCCTTTAGTTTTTTCTTTTCTTTTTTTTTCCTTTTTTTTTTTTTTTTGATTTTAAGATTACAATTGCATTTTAGATTTTGTAAAACCAAAATTTATACAAAAAGAACAAAAACACATTTTACGCATAAAAAAAGGAACTATTTGGAAACAATGGTCTGGAACCCTACTCCAGTCCAGAACACGGTATCCAGAAAAAATGATTATTTTACAAAAAAAAAAAATAATAATAATAAAATAAGAAATTCGAATCATTTTTTTCAAAGAGTTCATTTGTACGGGTTAATTTACTCAATTTCCCTTTAAATGTTTATGTAATTATAAAATAATATTTTAACATATTAATTAAAAAAGAAAAGAAAAATGAGAGGTGATGTGATAAGACTCCGTAGCTGTTAAATGAGGTGAAGGGAGAATAACGAAAAGAAAATTTGATATGACGTTTGATGTGAAAACTCAAAACTATGATAAAATGAATGACCACACCCATAGTATTCAGTATTAGAATATTTTTCAAAGTTTCATCCACCATAAAATCAAACTTTTTTAAGGCCAAATCACTTTCTTCAAATCTAGAATCACAATGCTCCTCCATGTCATTGTAATCAACAATAAAAACTATAACTGTCAATAACAATAAATTACTTGTAATCAAGAGATGTAGCTCAATTTAAACATTCTTACCTTCTTAACAGTGTGCAGATGTATTCGTTCGGTAAAAAACACCAATAAAGTTACACTCATTTAATTTAACCCTCCAATTGTTAAACCTTTTGGTGTTATAATAAACCAATATCCATGTAATACCATTTAATGAACAAAGTGTATTATTCACATAGATAGGTCGTAGGCAATTGGTAACTTCAAATGTAGTAAACACTGGAAAAAAAAAATACATATTGCAATGTTCAATTGAATGAAAAATAAAATTATAATATAATGATTTTGGTGCAGTTAATTTTAGCAAACAATATAATCAACCAATATTGAATATTTTCTAAAAGTTAAACATCATAATTCATATGTTATCATGTTAGCGATACTTTTTCCAAAAGAGAAGAAAAAAGTATTCACGCGGAGACCAAATCAGCTAAAGAAGACAACATACATTGACTTTGCTGCCAAACATTGACTCTTCACTCTAGTACCAAACAAGAGACATTCATCTCGAATTTAGATCTAAGACAACCAAAATCAGAAGCAACGAAACTTATAATCACAACTTATATACACTCTTGTAATTCTTCTCAAGTACTTCCATGGCCATCCTCACTGAATTACCAGAAGAACAAGAAGCGGCAATAACATATGATGTTTTCCTGAGTTTCAGAGGGAAAGACACTCGTCTGGGTTTTATGGATCACCTTTACCAAGCTTTGGTGAATGAAAACATCTCTACCTTTCTTGATGAGGAAGAGGTTGAAACTGGGGAAGAACTTAAACCCGAGCTTGCAAAAGCTATAAAAAGCTCCCGTGCTTCCATAGTTGTGTTGTCTAAGAACTACGCATCTTCAACATGGTGTCTGGACGAGCTCGTGATGATCCTTGAGCAACGAAGGGTCTCTGATCATATCGTTCTCCCTGTTTTTTACAATGTCGAGCCGACACATATCAGAAAGCAAGAAAGCACTTTTGGGGAAGCGTTATTTGAACACAAACAGAGGATTGAGTCAGAAAAGGATGTGGAGAAGAAAACTCAATGTGCTCGTAAGTTGGAGATGTGGACGAAAGGACTTACAGAGATTACTGATTTGAAAGGAAAAGATGCAACTGGAAGGTAAAACATTCATACTATATTTTCACAAACTTCTTCACTTTTGTATGGAGAACCAAGTCCATTAAAAATCCCACAATCCATGGAGACAAAAATAATCCAGGGGTATTTTGGGAAAAACTGTCATATTTTAAGTTTTTGGTATTTGTTTAGAATTCTATTTTCCAATAGCCGTATTGCATTAGGTTTCTTTCATTGTTTAGTATAAATAGGATTCATCCATAGTTGTTTTTTTAATTCTTAGTTCTAACTAGTTTTGTTTTTACCTTTTCTGTCCCAAGTTCTTTTTCATCACCTGATCACGTTTCTTTTTTGAAGTTTTCTAGAACAAAGACTTGCACTTGTTCTATTATTGCATCTGTGTTTATTTACACTTGAAAGACTTGGTTAACAAGTAAATTTTCCAAAAGTTTTTTGGTTACCTGTTCTTCCTTTCCTCTCCCCAGTTTGCTGTCCCTGTTGCTTTGTTGCTGTCACAAAGCTTAAACGTTACACTTAGAGCATACCATTGTGAGATTTAGTTTTTTACCATTATTGGGATGACAAGCTTTGTGGGGACTAAGCTATCGAAACATATACAAAGTGCCCACCCTTATGGTTAAACTGTGCGTATATTTTTATTTTAGTCCCTTAATTTCATATTAATTAAAAGGATGCAAAAGACTAGTTATTGTCTTATTGATCAGTTTAATCAATTTGATATATGGGCTGCTGTATCTTGTTGATAGAATTTGATTCCTTTTTCAGAAGAGAGACGGTGGTCATCGAAGAAGTCGTGAAAGAAATTAGTACTAGACTGGAACTACACTTGCAAAGGAGAATTCCACACCTAATTGGGATGGACGATTCTATTTTTACCATCAGTTCTTGGTTAAAAAGAGGATCTTCTGAAGCTGCTGAAATTCTCACAATTTGGGGAATGCCTGGGATCGGAAAAACAACATTGGCAGAATATATGTTTACCTCGCACTGCCATAAATTTGAAAGTAGTAGCTTTGTTGAAGCCATTGGAAGAAGATGTGCACAACAGCCATATTCGCAAATAGATTTGCAAAAACAGCTTCTCGGAGACGTTCTAAAGAAAAGAAAGATTGAAGAAAATAATGCAGATTTATGCACATCTAAGGTTGAAAAGGCATTATCTAGGAAAAAGGCACTTCTGGTTCTTGATGATGTTGATAACTTTGAGCAACTGGATGTGCTTATTGGAACAAAAGGTTTTCATCCAGGAAGCAAGATTATAGTAACAACCAAAGATGGGTCCCTAACAGAAAATTGTTCATTGTTTCGTATGAAATTCCCCCCAAAACATACAAAGCTTGCACTTCATGGCTTAAGTGACACTGCATCTATGAGACTTTTATGTTGGCATGCGTTTGGAAACAATGATCCGAAGAAAGGTTATGAGAAAGAAGCAGAACGAGTTACCAAGTTTTGTGGAGGACATCCATTGGCTATTAAAGTTTTGGGTTGTTCATTAATTAATAAAGATGCAGCCATATGGAGTGATGTCCTTGAAATGTTGGAGGCAAAAGGATATTTAACTGATGTACAAGAGAATGTACAAAAGGCTCTGCAAATTAGCTTTGATTCTTTATCAGGGGATTGCAAAGAACTTTTTAAGCACATTGCTTGTTTTTTTGTTGGAAAAGAAAGAGAAGTTACACAAATAATATTAAAGGAATGTGGGTTTCAAACATCATATGGGATCAACAAGCTCATTGATAAATGTCTTCTCACAATTGGAGGAAGAAATGAGTTGAGGATGCATCAATTGCTTCAAGAGATGGGGAGAGATTTAGTCCGTAAAGAATCACCTGAAAAGCCATGGAAGCGTAGTTGAGTATGGAAACATGAGGAGTCCCACGATTTGTTGAAAAAGGACAAGGTAAATACGACATAGTCATTAAGAGTATTTGTTAGCTAGCTTTATCATCTATATAAAAATTAGTGTTTGTTGTAATTTTCTTTTTGATAGGGCACCCATAGAATTCAAGGTCTTATCCTTGACACGAATGTTGAACACGACTCTTTTATATGGGAAACAACAAGACTTTTATTAAGACACTTAAGGAGAACTTACACTTTGTGAGACTACTACACACTTTGCTTTCTTTGAGGCTTTCTTGGATGGTTTGGAGCAAATGAGCTCCATACCTATTTATAGGCCTCTTAGGAAGGTTCTAGATACTAGCATACACTTACTACATACTAGATAACTCTAGAACATACTCTACATCCTTCCATATGTTTCTAGAACATTCTACCATGTTCTGGAGAAGTCTAGGTTGCTCTAGTGTCTTCTAGAATGATCCATAACCTTCCAGGGTCTTCCATGTCGTTCTAGAGTATTCTAGACTCTTCCGGTATATTCTAGAGTCTTCCATAGTCTTCCATAATGTTCTAGAATCTTCTAGAGCATTCTAGAACAAGCTAAAGTCTTCTAAATAATATTTGTTTTATTGGGCTAGTGATGATCTTTAACACTCCCCCTCAACACTAGCCCTCATTCTTCGTACCATGTTAAGCTGACAGCGAAAACCTTCACATTTTCCAGTACTCAGCCCTTTGGTGAACAAGTCTGCTATTTGGTCATCGGTCTTGATCTGCCGCATCTCAATTTCTTCCATCAAGACTTTTTCTCTGATAAAGTGATAATGCACTTCCACATGCTTTGTTCTAGCATGAAATACTGGATTTTCTGCCAGCCGAATTGCAGATTGGTTGTCACAGTGAAGTGGTACTGCATAGTCAACTTTTTGATGTAAGTCCTCCATTAGGAGTACCAACCATGTACTTTCTTGAGCTGCTACAGCCGCTGCTTTGTACTCCGCTTCCGTGGTTGACAATGATACTGTTGGTTGTCTTTTACTACACCATGATATTGGTCCTGACCCAAGCTTGAACACATACCCAGTGGTTGATCTTCGGGTATCATGGTCTCCTGCATAGTCAGCATCACAATATCCAACCAACTTGCAGTCTTCTCCTCTTTTATACAAGAGACCATAGTCAATTGTACCTTTGACATATCTCAAGATCCGTCGGGCAGCATCCAAATGAGGTTTCTTCGGACTTTGCATGTATCGACTCATAACTCCAACTGCATAAGCAATGTCAGGCCGAGATAAAGTTAGGTAGATAAGACTACCTACTAGTTGTCGATACATCGTTCCATCGTCCAACTCTTTTCCTTCATGAGCACATATCTTGGCATTTGGCTCTATTGGTGTTGATATTGGCTTACACTCCAACATGCCAAACTTTTGAAGTATATCTCTTGTATACTTTTGTTGGCAGAGGAACAACCCTTCCTTTGTACGATCAACTTCTAACCCCAAGAAGTGTTTAAGTTCCCCCAGCTCTTTCATTTGGAATCGCACCGATAGATTTTCTCTTGTTTGATGGATTTCTCTTTCGTCATCCCCGGTGATGATCAAGTCATCCACATAAACCAACACAATTGCCAACTTCCCTTCTTTTTCTTTGATGAATAGGCTTGAGTCTGCATGTGCAACTAAATAATCACTTCGGGTAAGAAATTCAGCAATCTTACCATACCAGGCTCTTGGTGCCTGCTTCAATCCGTAAAGAGCTTTTCTCAACTTGCACACATGATTGGGATTAACTTCATCCTCAAATCCCTTTGGTTGGTTCATGTAGATCTCCCGATCTAATTCTCCATGCAAGAAAGCATTCTTCACATCCATCTGCCATAATTTCCAGTCTTTACTAGCTGCAAGAGCTAACAACACCCGTACAGTAGTTATCTTCGCCACTGGACTAAATGTTTCATCATAGTCCAATCCATATTGTTGTGAGAACCCTCGAGCCACCAGACGAGCCTTGTATCTCTCAATTGATCCATCTGGGCGACGCTTTATTTTATAAACCCACTTGCAGGAAATGGGTTTTAAATCTCTTGGTCTTGGTACTAGTTCCCAAGTTTGATTCTGCTCTAAGGCTGTAACTTCTTCTTCCATCGCCTTCTGCCAAGCTTTATTCTTAATTGCTTCTTCATATGTCTCCGGCTCTTTAACACCGTCTTCTAAAATGGCCGCATTAGCATACTTGGGATTAGGCTTTCGGATTCTTTCCGTCCTTCGAAGTTGTGGAGGCGGCGGCTCCCTTTCACCGGCATCACTTGTTTGAGTTACTTCTTGCTCAATGACATCAGTGTCGCTCGGATCTTCAGGTGTATCAACACTTGACCAAATATGTGCAGTTTGCTCCCCCATCTTTTGTTTTAAAACTTCTTCAATATTTTCCGAGTCTGGTAGTACTTTCTTCTCTGAGGACCACCATGAAGATGCTTCATCGAACACTACATCTCTTGAAGTGTAGCATCTTCCGCTTGTTGGATCACAACACCTCCATCCTTTTCTTTGATTGTCATATCCAACAAATATACACCTGACTGCTTTCTTGTCAAACTTGCTACGTAAATGACTAGGTACAAATACGTAGCAGATGCAACCAAATACTCGGAAGTAGCTAACAGTAGGTTTCATGTTCCATAGTGTCTCAAATGGTGAGATGAAACCTAACCTTGGTTGGGGAAGTTTATTGATCACATGGGCAGCAGTTTGCATTGCTTCAGCCCAAAATCTTCCTGGGACATTCTTCGCGTGTAGCATGCTTCGACAAATTTCTGCAAGATGTCGATTCTTTCTCTCAGCTACACCATTTTGTTGAGGTGTGTTGGCACATGTGAATTGATGACGTATACCACATTCTTTTAGATAGCGATTGAATTCTTCTGAGGTGTATTCTCCTCCATTGTCTGAGCGTAGACACCGAATCTTCTTTCTCACTTCTCCTTCGACCGTTGTCTTGAATTCTAGAAACTTTGAGAATGTTTCAGATTTTTCTTTCATGAAGAAAACCCACACATATCTCGAATAATCATCAATGAACGTCACCATGTACCGCATCCCGCTAACTGATGTCTGCTTGACTGGACCGAACACATCTGAGTGAATTAACTCTAGTGGCTTCTTTGCTCTAAAATTTGACTCCTTGTATGGTAATTGATGAGCTTTGCCATACTGACATCCAGCACAAACAACATCTGTTTTAACTTCAAGTTGAGGTAAGCCATTGAGCATGGATTTCTCCATTATTACCTTCAACTTGTGATAACCAACATGTCCCAGCCGTGCATGCCATAGATCTGTTGTCTCGTTCTTACGAGTCTTGTCTACATAGGCAGACTCTGCGGAGAGCACATAAACGGACTCCACTCTTCGTCCTTCCATTGTTGGCTTTCTGATATTTTAAGATCTCGATAGACCTTCACATCTTGTGGGCCAAACAAGACGTAGTTGCCTGACGATGTTAGTTGCGATACCGACAACAAGTTCTTCTTCATACCTGGCACGTGATACACATTATGTAGTGACACCATGTCAGATTTATTACCAGGCATGATCGTCGTTTTTCCAATCTGAGCAATTGGAAGTCGTGCATTGTTGGCTGTAAGTACCATGCGACTCCCTTTGTACTCCTTCACATCTTGTAGTTTGTTCTGATCGCCAGTCATGTGATTGGAGCATCCTGAATCAATGATCCAGTCATTTTCATAGTTGATACGCTCTCCCATCATTGTCATGAGTGCCAACTCGTTTTCTTCAATGGCACATAATGCCTCAGCATCCCATTCATCCTCTATTTCCTTTTTGGAAGTTACTACATTGCTTTCCACAGACTTTTTCTTTGACCAACAATCCTTGGACATGTGGCCCCACTTTCCACAGTTGTTGCAGTTGCCTTCGAACCTCCTCCCCCGAGAACTCTTATTGTCGGTCTTTTGAGATCTCCATGGTTTGAGGTTCCTTGCTGACTCTTCCCTTTGTCAGCATTTTTGTATCCTTCTTTAGAAGGTGGCTTGAAATTCCTCCGACTTTTACTTGTGTAGAGTGCTTCTTCTTCACTCTTCAGCGTGATGCCTCCCATTTGCTTAGCCATAGCTTCTTGGCTGGCCAACAAATTCTCAAACTCTACAAGTGATGGTTGAGCGGGCCATCCTTGTACAGCAGTAACAAAGCTTCTATATTCCGGCCTCAGTCCATGGATAATGATTCTCTTCATTCGAGCTTCTGCAATGACGGATTGTGGATCTAGTTCAGTAATCTCCCGACATATCGACTTGACCTTGTGGAAATATTGAGCAATCGTCATGTCACGTTGTGAGATTGATAATAGCTCGTTCTCCAAAAGTTGTAGTCTCGTATCATTCTTCTTTGAGAAAAGCGTCACAAACGTGTCCCAAGCTTCTTTCGGGGTGTTCTCATCCCGAATATGCTCCAACATCTCTTCTTCAATTGTGGTCTTCAAGGCAAACATTGCTTTGCCTGCTTTGATTTTCCATTTGCGTAAAGCACCATTAACGTCTTCCTCTGGTGGCGTAGTTTCGCTTCCACCAACGACCTCCCATAGATCTTGTCCTTGTAAGTAGGACTTCATACATGTTTCCCACGTTTTGTAGTTGTTGTTGTTGAGTTTCTTGATTCCTCCGATGACTTGGAGATCACCCATCGTGTTGGCAGTACCTCGGTAATACCAAACAAGCTAGTTTTGATACTAAACTTGCAGAGTCACAAACTACTCACGATACAACGAGAATCACTCGTTCTCACTATCAAGAAACCTTGCTCTGATACCAGATTGTTGAACACGACTCTTTTATATGGGAAACAACAAGACTTTTATTAAGACACTTAAGGAGAACTTACACTTTGTGAGACTACTACACACTTTGCTTTCTTTGAGGCTTTCTTGGATGGTTTGGAGCAAATGAGCTCCATACCTATTTATAGGCCTCTTAGGAAGGTTCTAGATACTAGCATACACTTACTACATACTAGATAACTCTAGAACATACTCTACATCCTTCCATATGTTTCTAGAACATTCTACCATGTTCTGGAGAAGTCTAGGTTGCTCTAGTGTCTTCTAGAATGATCCATAACCTTCCAAGGTCTTCCATGTCGTTCTAGAGTATTCTAGACTCTTCCGGTATATTCTAGAGTCTTCCATAGTCTTCCATAATGTTCTAGAATCTTCTAGAGCATTCTAGAACAAGCTAAAGTCTTCTAAATAATATTTGTTTTATTGGGCTAGTGATGATCTTTAACAACGAATCTATTGAGAAAGGAGCTATCACATAGATCAGGTAGTCTCACTGAGCATAACTTCCAAAATGATGATGTGAACAAGAGTCTTAGAGCTGCCCAACCAATCCAGATGGTCTATGAGTTCTTTTTAAGAATTTGGTTGTTTTTTGCTCGGCTTCTCCTAATGCTTTCATCTTCTCATTGCAAAAAAGTCGAATTGAGAGCAGATGCATTAAGAAAGATGGATAAGCTAAAGCTACTCCAACTCAATCATGTAAAAATCAACGGATCATACAAGAATTTTCCAAAAGGTTTAAGATGGTTGTGCATGCGTGGATTCCATTCAAAATTCATACCTTCAGACTTACCAATGGAAAATTTGGTTGCTCTTGACATGCCTTACAGTAATCTCACACAGCTTTGGAAGAAGCCAAAGGTATGAAATTAAAGCTTTTACTTCAACTTTTAGTCTATTAATATCTTCGTGATAATATTCTTGATTAGAGGATATCCAATGCAACAACATCTTGGGTCATTGAAGATTCTTAATCTGAGTAATTCCAACCTTGTTAGAGTCGAAGGCTTCTCCGGGTTACCTGCACTTGAGAGGTTGTATATATCTTACAAACTGTGAAAGCTTAGTTCATGTGTGTGAGTCAATTGGTGGATGTGATAGCCTTCTTGTTCTTGACTTGAGCTACTGTGATAAGCTTAGTAATGTTCCAATTGGCATCAGCAAGTTAAAGAATGTTAGAAGTCTATCATTAAACGGTTGCTTAGCTGCTAGTGAATTTCTAATGCGGATGAAGGATATGGAGTCATATGCATATTCCTCTTCTGTTGGAGAATTTATACCGAAAACTCCAAAATCAATTTTGCTACCTTCACTAGTAACCTTGTCGCTTGTAGGCAGTAATTTATCTAATGAATCCTTTCCAAAGAACTTCGGTAGCATGCCAATGTTGAAGGCATTATGTCTAAGGAAGAATCCAATTGATTCCCTGCCTGATTGTGTGAGAAGCCTTAGTAGGCTTGAGGTACTCCATGTTGGAGAATGTTGGATGCTGAAGTCGGTATTGTACCCTCCTTTTACAATCAAACATTTGTCTACTGAAAAGTGTTTGTCACTTATTAAAAGAACATTCCATTAAGAAATGTCATCACCACCAGTTGTGTATTATGATTAGTCGGAGTCACTGACAGAAATTCAAGGCATAATCAAATTTCAAGCTATAGCACAAATTGAGGACCAGATATTATGTAACTTGGGGTGGATAAATTTACAACATGTGAAAGATCAAAGGATCCGGATATCGGAGTCATCCTTATGGTCTCGTGCAAAGAAACTCCCAATTCCAGTCCAGGTATTCTCTTTCTACTGCTCTGTTGCTATGAATCTCACAAACACAAACACACACACACACAAAAAAAATATGTAGAAAATTCATACAATCGAATGTTTTATTTGCAGATGTTTTACGAATTTGGAATATTTAGCACATGTTCTCATGGGAAAGCAGTTCCGGATTGGTTACATCATAAAAGCAAGGGTTCATCAATATCAATAGCCATGCCATCGTCTTCAATGAATAAGAGTATACAAGGAATAAATAAGCTTTGTGCATACATTTCCAGGCATAGGAAAGCAAAGTCGTTTAAAAATAAAAGTACAAAACGTGACAACAAATCGCACCTGGATATATTATGGTGATATTTTTTCTTTCCGAGAAACTGATGAAGATATGGTATGGTTAAGTCATTGGATGTTTGGGAATGAGATAAAAAATGGTGATGAAGTTTGTGTTACAATATTAGAAAATAAACTATATGGTGGAGTAATGGTAAGAGAGTGTGCAATCGGTCCTGTGTACACTGATAAGGACAATAATGAAGAAGATCCTTTGAGTTATTACAAGTCGTGGAAACATATTATTGGTGGTGATCTGTCCGACTTTCAAGTAGCCGCAGGAGAGTACTTTCTAAACAATTTCCGTTTTATTTCTCATTACCATGTATTTAAAAGACATCTTAACTAATTTTCTAGTGGTACGAAAGTTAATTTGTAAAATATTTTTCTAATTCCAAATTTTAAAAGGTATACTAATGAGATTATCACTCCTTAATATTGAATATGAATGGACTTACAGATCATGAGGGTTTGTATTAAGTAGTTAAACGTTTTCTCAATGGTAAATATCATGTCAACATTTGGGACAAGTCTCTCTCAACCCCAATCGTAAGCAGTATAGTGGTGTTAGGTATTTGGTCAAAACTTTGTACTTTACAGCTTCTTGCAGGTTTTCTTCTGTTTTATAAAAGTTTTTGTTCCAAAAAATGCGGGGTGTTTTCTATATAAGGACTAAATAAAGTACGGTAATAAAATGTACTATAGTTAGGGTAGAATACCCCTCTTTAAAAACCTTACTCAATAGTTAAATATATTTTACAACAACAACTTATGATGTCAGGTTCAAACTTTTCATTTTGTTGCGAGTTTAGTCCGTTTTGCTTTGAACATTTTTAAAATGATGATTTTGCCCTTATTTTTTTCTTTTTTCAGTTTTTTATTAGTCTTATTAATTTTTTATTAAAATAAATAAAAAGAAAATTGAAACTAATTTCTCTCTCTCTCTCTCTCTCTCTCTCTCTCTCTCTACACGTAGCCATCTTCTTCTTCTTCTTGAAAATCAGTGAGGATGAACAAAAAAACACCGATAACAAATTGTTGAGCTCGTCGGTTATCAATGGAGATGGAGAAAACAGAAGGAGAAATCATATCTAGGGTTAATCTTCTTCATCTGTGTTTTGAGATGTTCGTCTTCTCCATCTGTTTCCAGATCTATTTGTGTTCTCCATCATAGTCATGATCGGTTTACAGCACCACTCCTTCTCAGTTTATCTTCTCCATATATGGCTCGGTTTTCAGATCTATCACCAGAAAACCCACCTCAACCACACCCTTTAGTATCATGGTATATCTTCAACATATGGGCTCCAATCGATCTCGTCGCGTCCGTTAGAAATCACCACCATTCTCAAATTAAGTAAAATGAATTTTAGAAGTGAAAGGAAAAAAACCACCTTCCTCTACCTTTGATTTCCACCATGTTTTCCTCAAACAAAACCTTCATCATCATTAATTCCCAAATCAACAATGCCCTTAATCTCATTTTTTTTTGACAAATCTGTACTTCCACATAGACCAATTTCGCATCGGGGTTTTTTAGGCCACCAGTTGTTCGTAGTAGAACAAGATGAATTTGGAGGTTGAATACGAAGTTTGAAAAGAACCTTCATCCATTGATGAACAACTCTGATGAGCATCAATGGTTTTTATACATCGCCAATCTCTTTCTCGAACACATATGATGACGACGCAACTGGAGAAGATAAATGGTGGCGGCGATGTTCTAAATCGACAACAACATTCTAGATCGTTTTCTGAAAACTGAAGACAACTATGACAATCTAGATCCAAAGAAGGAGAGTGTTTACAGATCACCAAAAAATTGAGAGTTCGATTGTCTTCGACGAAAATCGATGCTTTTTGGTGGTGGCGTCGATCTTTGAAGATGGTGGTGGCGGCCTTCATCTTTTCCGGTGGTGGTGTCTGGTGGTTATGTTACCTGTGTGTGTGTGTGTGTGAGAGAGAGAGAGAGAGAGAGAGAGAGAGAGAGAGAAAAGGAGGGTGGGGAAGGGAGTTAAGGTGGGGCTTGGTTTCTATTTGTTTTTTTTTCTTAAATTAGAAAAGAGTTAAAAGTAAAAAAAAGAAGAGAAAATAAAATATAGAGTGTAAAATCGTCATATAAAAAGGTTCAAAGAAAACTAGACCAAACTCGCAACAAAATAAAAAGTTTGGTCCGGTGATGCTAGTCCAAACTTTTTTGAACCAAAGTGATAATTTTGAGCCAACTTTAGGGACCATTTGTGCAGTTTTGTCTTAAAACCCTAATCTAGTATCAATCGCCGTCAAACTCCTCTCATTGAGATCCACCTATTACGATGGTGTTTGGCTTAACTTTTAAATGACTTTTGACTTTATCTTTTAGAAAAATTCAAAAAGATGTTTGCTAAGTGAAAAGGAATTTTGTAAATGACTTTTCCAATAAAATAATTTGAGTCTTTTTGAAAAGTAACGATTACGTGACTTTTCCCAACTTTTCACCAGCTAAAAATATTAAATTACCAATATACCCCCCCCCCCATCTACCCTAATTAATTCTTCATTCACAGATACGATTCCCTCATTACTTCTTGTTCTCTCCGTTCACCCACTCTTCTCTCTCGTATCTCGACCTGCAACATCAACCTACAACACTGACGACACCGGTGACCTGCAACGTCGGCGACCTGCAACGACCTGAAGCACCGGCCTTTCTCCATCTCTGATCAGGTTTGTTTTCTTTTCCAGTCGATTTCCGATTTCCGATTTTACAATATCTTCTTGTCTATTTCCGATTTTCAGTAGCAAAGAAATGTGTTCCTCCCGATTTCTGAAATTGATATACTATGTAATTGATGTGCTGTGAAATGTGTTCCTCCCGATTTCAAATTTTCCTTGAATTGTTCTTCTCTCTAGCATCTGAAATAGTGATTATTCTGTGATTTCTTCCTCCCGATTTTTGAATTTGATATGCTGTGAAATAGTGATTATTCTGTGAACTTGATGAAATATGAATTAACAATTAGTGAAATTGATGAAATATGAAGCTGATGAAAATTTTTGTTCAGGGATGATATTTTTGATAACAGATAACTGATTTGTGAAATTGATATGCTGCGAAATAGTGATTATTCTGTGAACTTGATGAAATATGAATTAACAATTAGTGAAATTGATGAAATATGAAGCTGATGCAATTTTTTGTTTAGGGGTGATATTTGTGTTAACAGATAACTGATTTGTGAAATTGATATGCTGTGATATTCTATTTTTTCTGTTTTGATTAGAATTTTGATAAATTAATGAAATCATTTAGGAAGGTTAATGAAATTGGTTTGTTGCTTAAAGGTTGATACTATATGTAATTCACAGATAATGGATGAAAACAACACTACAATTGTTGATTGTGAAAAATCTTTAAAAATGAAAAAACCAAAATTTGGGTGGGATAATTGTAGCTTCATGGTGTTTGTTGATTCATGCTTGATTGAACAAAAAAAAGCCATAAACCCACTACCTCCTTTGATAAAGTTGGGTGGGAAAATATACAAAAACACATTAAGGAAAAAATAGGTTACAACCTTGAAAAAAAACAACTAACAAACAAATGGGAGAACATGAAAAAAGAGTGGAAGATTTATGACCGCTTAATGAGGCTTGAAACCGGACTCGGTGGGACGAGAAGCCTAGTAGATGCGTCCCCTGAGTGGTAGGAGGAGAAAATATAGGTATGATTACTATTCTTTTTAATTATTTCAAGTTATGATTGCATATAGATTGAACATATTTGATTTACAATATCTTTTTGTCTTGCAGGAGAATAAAGATTATCCCAAATTTAGGAACACAAATTTGAGCATATATGATGAGAAACATGCTACTTTGTTTCGGGATTCTATTGTCGTTGGAGATCAGACTATGACTCCATTACAATTTCAAAACAATAGCAATCCAAACGAAGAAAGTATGGAGGGCAAAGGAGATAGTGATGAAATCAATTTAGATGATGATGAGCCTCTTTTTACTAGTCTCCAGGAAAGTAGTTGAAGTAAAATGAAGACGTCTAAGTCTGTTTCCAACAACCATCCAACCAAGAGTTTCCAACAACCATCCAACCAAGAGTAAAAGTTCAATTGATGAAGACTAAGTTGATGCTTTATTGGATGCCATATCATCAAAAAGCACACAAACTTATCCACAAAATAATCCGTCCCCAACAATAGCAGATTGCATGGCCATTAACATCAAGTTCCCCGATTTTTGTGAAGGGTCCAACGAATTTTCACAAGCATTGCTTGTCTTCACCAAAAAGCAAAATCGTGAAGCTTTTATGTTCCTAACGACCGACGAAGCCAAGATGGAGTTTCTTAAGTTACTTATGAAATAATGATTTAGCAATATGTGTTATGCTTTGACATTTATGTGTTATCCTTTGACAATATGTGCTATGCTTTGACATTAAGTTTTATGTTTTGACATTATGTGTTGTCCTTTGACATTATGTATTTGATGTTTTATATTATGTGTTATTGTTTGTCTTTATGTTATGTGTTAATGGTTGACATCTTTTTATTTGTATTATGTAGGATGGATAGTGATGATTATAATTCATCCAATGATAATGAAGAATGTGAAATGGAAGAAGATAGAGAATTTGAAATGTTATGTGGATTAGCTTTGAAAGGGATAATACTCGCTCGTAACTTACGCATGTCATGTCACACTTCAGATCGCACATGGAACATGTTTATTAGTGAAGTACTAAATGGCCATCCTAGATGTTGTTATGAGATGTTTAGACTCAACGTACCGGTTTTTAGACAATTATGCATAGATCTTGCTACAAATTACAGACTACAACAAACACGAAAAGTATCTATTGAGGAGTCTGTAGGAATATTCTTGATGACTTTGGCTCATGGGTGTAACAATAGATTTGTGAAAGAATGTTTTAATCATTCGGGGGAAACGATTCATAGGCATTTCCATACAGTTTTGGAAGCCGTGCTAAAACTGAGTGCCGACATCATCAAGCCAGACGTAAACTATAATGATGATGTTCCCGAATATATATTAAATAAGCCTCGGTATTATCCAATGTTCAAGGTATTATCCAATGTTTATTTTCTTGGTAGTCAAACTTTAACAAATAATTTATTTATGATATATTTTTGAATTTGAAGGATTGCATTGGTGCTATAGATGGGACACACGTAGGGCATCGGTTCCACTAAAAGATGAAGTGAAGTACATTGGTCGAAAGGGATATGCAACACAAAATATAATAATTGTTTGTGATTTTAACATGTGCTTTACATTTGTTTGGAAGGGGACTGCATATGATACAAGAATTTTCAATGAAGCCTTACAGAGACCCGATCTTAATTTTCCCTATCCAAAAGGTGGTTAGTGTTTTTTTAACACAAGTTTTATGTTTTTACTACTTGTTTGAAACGAATAATAAATGTTAGTTTTATTTACAGATAAATATTACGTTCTGATGCTGGATATCCAAATACGAGAGGGTATCTTGCTCCATACAAAGGCACAAATATTCATTATCATTTACCGGATTTTTGACGTGGACACACGACTGCTATTCGTGAACCTCATGGACCGAAAGAGAAATTTAACTATCTCCACTCATCATTGCGAAATATCATTGAACGAACTTTTGGAGTGTCGAAAGCTAGGTGGGCGTTATTAAGATACATGCATGGTAATTACAAGTACAAGAACCAAGTGAGAATTGTGGTAGCATCGATGGCGATCCATAACTACATTAGAAAGGTTTGTAGTTTTGATGAAGCGTTTAATAGGGCATAACAAGAATCCTACAATCCCGTACGAGATGATACCGGTAGTGATGTTTACGAAGAAGGGACAAGTACACATCACACGAGCGATGATGATTTACATATGGCAGTGATACGGGATATTATTGCACAAGATATAATCACATTGCGAAGATGAACGTAATATTATCTACGATATTTTTTATGAATTATTTACAATTTGTATGAACGTAATTTTAATATTGTCATGGTCTAATCCAAAAAAATTAGAAATATTTTAATTTGTATGAACGTAATTTATATTTTATATTTGTCTGAACGTAATTTTAATATTGTCATGGTTTAATACAAAAAATCTTCTTGTGAATTATTTACAATTTTTATGAACGTAGTAATTTTAATATTGTCATGATCTAATCCAAAAAATTAGAAATATTTTAAAAGAAATTTATATTTTATATTTTCTAGTAAAATGTTTACAAAATTATAATATGTGTTTAAAAAAAATTGAAGTATAAAATAATATATGTAAAGTAGTAAATCAATGTAAATATGTAAACATGTCCTTTTTTTGTCATTTTACATGTAAAAATAAAACCAAACAATTTAACTTTTGACTTGTTCCCTTCAAAAGATAATCCAAACACATTTTAAAAAATAACTTTTGTAAAAATTCCTTTTACAAAAAATCCTTTTTTCGATGGCTTCGTAATCCTTCGACTGTATCAATTTCTGCTTGATCATCATTTGCCTATTACTATTTGATTATTTTGCTTGAACGAGTGATGTAGGTAATTGTTTATTATTCACAATTGATGTTAGTTCACTTTTGATTATCTTTTTTATCTAATTTTTAATTTTTGGTACGTGTTGCAAGAAGTTTAAGAGTTGAGGACCGGTTCTGTTTTAGATGACATAATCATGCCCTATTGGTAGATGCTTGAGGATGGAAAGATTATCGTATGTAAGTGTTTTTCGTTTACCTTTTCTGGTCTTTGAATATTCCAAAATTTCTAGGTGTTCATTAAGGTGTGATCAGATTCAAATTGGAATTTGTGTAATGTTTTTTATTCTAGAAAAAAGCCAAGCCAATTTCATTCCTAAATCCTAACATGACGTCATTATCGAAATCAGGTGGCCTTCATTTATCTGTGTGCCTCTGTAATTTTCTTTTCTTTTGATTTCTACATTGAATTATTATCTTTATAAAAGTTGTCTTTATAATCATACCCTTCTTCATATGCCAAAAGGTTATAATTTCTGAAGATAACCCTAATTGCAGTTGGTCTCACACAAATCCTGAAATTTCTGGCATTTATTCTAAATTTGAAAATTATGGAGCATTTGTAGAAGAATCAGAAAAGATATAGTACTCTAAAGGTTTTTTTCTAACACTCTAGAGTTGGATGACTGTATTTCATTTGTTTACTTAAATTGATTCATTTCAATATTATTTTGGTACAATGAATGATGTTTTATGTAGTACCATACAAAAAATTTATCATTTTTGTGGTTTTTTTCAGTAATTTGTGGTAAAAAAAAAACACTTTGATTTTCAAGTGTTTTAGTTAATTTTACTTAGCTATTTGACATTTTTGTTTTGATTATTGAGTTAAACCTAGGTCTCGCAGTTATTAAAGATAGTGCTTCAAAGAAATACTTTAAGAAGTTTCTATCTGTAAGCTTATTTTGCCTCACATCCTCATTTTGTTATTTAATTGATTACGTCACGTTCCAAGCAAGTTACACCACCCAATACGATTTTGAGTTTCACAGCAAGATATATATTATTACATTACTTACATTTTTGGTCATATGTATTATTGTTTACTTGAATATTTTTGAATTTTAATTACTTACATCTCTCTGTTTCTAGGTATTGAAATGTGAGTATGTTATTGGTGGTGACTTTATGATGACATAACTCATAAGGTAAGTTTTATGATTTCTCCATTTTCTTCTTTTTTTTACTCCAACTGATGTATTCTATACTCTATGATGATTTTGACATTGATTTTGAGTCTATTAGAGTTTTGTTGAATTAGATTTTGTGGATATGTGTGCTTCTTTTAGTTTGAATGATTTTATGAATTTAATGACAATGATTAATATGTTTATTTTTTCTTTTTTTTATTCAAAATAATTTGTTGTGTGGATTCTTTCATGAAGTCATGTATCAAGATAAAACATCACTCGAGATTTTGAGTTCATCAAATGGGTAGGTATTATAGCCTTTTAAATATGTTTCCATCTTTCTCTTTTGTTTAATTTGTTTAATTTGACCACTCTCATAACCAGTTAAATCTGATCGCAACTCATCTTGAAGAAAGGAAAGAAAAGGTCATTTATGAAAATACGATGTTTTTTGTAAGATATGTATATAAGCTCCTTGCTTGATTAATTATTTCAGTTTTTATTAGTTTTCATTTCACTTCATTGTGTTTTGATATGGATTTATAGAATATCTTTTTGGGTTGATTTGGTTTTAGGCAATTGCTAAGATTCTAATTTTGTGCTTCTGGATATGATAGGCACTTGAAAATGTTGGGGGATTACTTAGCGTTCTTAATTTATGAAGTTGATTACTTGGTCAAGCATTTCTGCAAACTCATAGTGTGCTTATTAATTTACTCCAGGTTTGTTACTGTATTTTTATCTTTTTTCTTACATTATTGGTCTGTCACAAATGTAAATGAAACAACATTTTTTTAGTAACTCTCTTTAGTCTTTCTTTTTGCTTCACTGATTTGTCACAAAATTAAGTTTTTTGTTGGTTTCTTCTTGATAGGATAAAGTGTTTCTGTATCTTTAGCCATTTTTTTTTACTATATATTGTACTATATATTGTACTGACATAGTTGTAATTTCGGCAAAAGAAGAGTAGATGGGTACAGATGCATAAAGTGAAGAGTTAACCTCCTAACCAAGACTTGAAAATAGACAACCATCTGAAAATAAAAGGAAACATAAACATTCTGGTTTTTTCTCTTTCTAATTGGATTTCAACATTTTGATCATGCTTTCTTATATTTTTAAATATTTGACAAGTTTTCATCTCAACAGATTCTCAAGTGAAATAATCAGTGTAAGTTTCAAATTATAAAGTTTAAAGTAATGTTGGATGTGCATTAACTAATCTACCACATAGTTTATTTTTTTCATTTCACCGTGTACTTTCTAATATTTTTCTTGAGGATGAATTTGAAAAGAAGTTGTGAAGAACTGTACTTGTAGAAAATGATAAATCGTGAAGTTACATCAGCATCTAATTTTCCTAGACATTTCATATATGTAATTTTAATATTTTCACCAAGTATTTGTTATGCATTTTTGTGTTAATGATGGTGATTGCAGTGATATAATGTTAGCGGTTGTTGATGATATTGGTATTCAAGTAAATGATTCTGATTATAGTTTGATTGCATGACTCTTGGGTTGAGGTATTCATAACTACACAACTAGTAGGTCAAATAATTCTGGTTTGAACCTGTATGAAGAAGTCCCAATTTATGAGGATGGATATAAAAAAGGAAAAGGATCTAAAGGTTGAAGAATACCTCTTTTAAGCTTTTCAATTTCTTCATGTTAACCATTAATTTTTTATAACTATGTTATAAAAAGTCTTATATATATATATATATATATATATATATATATATATATATATATATATATATATATCCGGTAAGAAATTTGTTTTGGTAGGAAGGTAAGAAGTTTTTTTTCTACATATTTTTTTGACGAACAAAAAAAATGAATCACTAGATTATTCATTTATATAATGATTTTGTTGTTATTCACTAAAATTGTCATAAAAGTGATTTTTTTCTTAATTTACTTAAAAAAATTCTACCAAAAATGAATCATCTAATGATTCATTTTGTTTGTTCGTGAAAAAAATATATAGAAAAAAAACTTCTTACCTTCCTACCAAAAATTTCCTTCTTATTTGATCTTGAATCTCCTCTCTCTCTCTCTCTCTCTCTCTATATATATATATATATATATATATATATATATATATATATATATATATATATATATATATATAACTTAATAGAACTTGGCGAATTTGGATTTATGGACATTTATTAATATCATTTTTGTGTAAAATTAAGCATGAAAAGTCAACTATAAAGTAAAGTGGGGTAAATTGAAACTTAGAAAATGTTTGGACATAAAGTTAGAAATCACAGATATGGAACTGATTGGAGCTTGTAGTTCTTTTTAAAATAATAAAGAGAAATTTTAGCATACTGTGTACATTTACATAATTGACCCTCAAAAATAAAGTATTAAATAATCTTGATTTGGATGAACAAAGTGATAGAGATTGTAACAAGGTTTCCAAAAATATAAACAACACTAAAATCCGAGTTATAACGAAGAAGTTATGACCAATCAAAAGTCCGCGACAAAACCGGCAAACACTATTCTGCGTAAAAAGTGAGTTTTCGATAAACTACTTTTTAGCCTTAACAATCTAAATGAAAGTCATAGTATTCGTTAAACCAAGAAGTTCCATAAAAAACGCCCAAATCTCTCACTTTGTATGAAGAAGTTATGGTTTTTCTATGTTTCGGAATAGCGGTAGACAGTTAAAAACCTGAAATAAAGATCGAGCGAGATTTAGCCGAAACTACCTAAACGAGAATCGAATGTCTCGTCTAAAGTAGTACAACGGTAAAAAGCCTTTCTTTCCTATATATACATATACAATTCATTCGTTTTTAACCATAATAGTTTATATTCAAAAATAGTTTATACCAACTCAAAAAGTTATAAATTATAACAGCTATAATTTATGATTCAAGAGCACTAATTCACGAGTCAAGTATACTAGAGTACACTATTTTACAAGAACATGGGTTTATACTCCTGTACAAGAACAAGAGTTTGATTCAAAACTAAACAAGGGTATACAACTTACAAGTATATTTAGAGTATACTAAACAAGGAAAATACAATCAATCATTATTTCAGAACGATTGGGTTTCCATAACAATTATATATGTAACATTGACATGCTTTTTATGAGTCATCCAATTCAGGTTGTTTATTTATTTAAACAACATAGTTAAGGTCCTGATATTATAACCAGAATCGCCAGTCGGTTATCGAAACAAGTGTGTATATATCTATGTTGGGATTGACAACCCCGCACTCAGGCTGCTAGCTACAGTCAGACATACACGCCTATGAGTGACAATTGTTATCAACAAGCTTAAACGCCTTCAAAGTGTTTGTTCAGGCCATCCACTCCCAGTATGGTTATAATAACTCATTAAAAGATATTAACAATATGTTAGTGTATAATTAACACATGAGTACAGTTTCAAAGTACTAGTTTACAAAGATACAATTTAAAAGTTTTACCAAAAGGATACAAACACATAACAGGGGTTTACAAACAGAACAGTTTTATGAGATTAAAACTACTTTTCATATACAACAGAAAATATAGGATTTTCTGGAACAAATTACATATTCAAGCAACAGAAAACATACTTTCAAACATAACCACTTATGCACTCACTCAACTTTATGTTGATACTCTCTTTTCTAATTACTTGTATTCTCAGGGAAATATTAAACAGGTACTCCCCGAGCTTTTTGAGAAGATGGAGCTATTTTGAGTCATATCTTCTGTATTTTGCTATAACTATTTTGGTGTCAATATACAGTGATTGAACACATGTAAATACTTTTACTTTTAAATACAATGGTTGTTTGTATTTTGATTACTATGACGCATGTGTTGTGATACTACAAATGAAGTCCTCCACCCCCGGATGTTTCTGTCATCTGGTTTGGGGTGTAACAGAAAGTATAAGTATGGTATTGAAGGGACTTTAAATTATGCAAGATTAAGTCATGAGAATCTTTGTTTTGTTTCAAACTTAAATAAAACTGTTGAGCCTAAGATTTTTTTGAAGCTTCTACTGATTCAAATTGGGTGACTGCAATGAATGAGGAAATGGAGGCTTTATATTGCAATAAAACCTGGGAAATTACAGATTTACCCTATAATCGAAAGCCCATTGGTTGTAAATGGGTATACAAAATTAAGTATAAGTCTAATGATGAGGTAGAAAGATTTAAAGTTAGACTAGTAGCTAAAGGTTATAGCCAGAAAGAGGGTACTGATTATGAGGAAACGTTTTCTCTTGTAGCTAAAATGGTAACATTTAGGGTTGTTGTTTCTTTAGCTGTTAGCAATTCTTGGAATTTATTTCAACTTGATGTGAATAATGCATTTCTTTATGGGGATATTGAAGAAGATGTTTATATGACTCTTCCACAAGGGTATCATACACTTGGTGATACTCGTGTTTGTAAATTGTTGAAGTCTTTGTATGGTTTAAATCAGGCTCCTAGGAAATGGAATGAAAAATTATGTTCTTCTTTGTTTGACTTTGGTTTTGTTAAAAGTATGAATGATTATTCTGTGTTTGTCAAAAATAAAGGTGATACTATTATCATTTTGGTTGTGTGTGTTGATGATATTGTTATAACAAGTAATTGTGAGCTTGAGGTTGTTAAAGTGAAAGAATTTTTAAAATCAAAGTATTTGATTAAAGATTTAGGGAATTTAAAGTTTTTTTTGGGTATTGAGGTTTTTGATAAAAATGATGGAATCTACTTAACTCAACGAAAATATTGTTTGGAATTAATTCATGAGTTTGGTAAATTGGCTTGTAAGCCGGTTAAGACACCTTTGGATTTAAATTTTAATATTTATGAGAAAGGAATTGATGAAAAGGATGTTTTGTTAAGCAATATAAATGAATATCAGGAACTTATAGGCAAATTGATCTATTTGACTATAACTAGACCATATATTTCTTTTACTATTCAAACTCTTAGTCAATTTATGAATTCTCCAAGAAAGTTTCATTTGGATATTGCAATGTGTGTGTTAAGATATCTAAAGCAAAGTCCTAGTAAAGGTATTAGTTTATTAAAGAATCAGAATGTTTCTTTGTGTGCTTATGTGGATGCTGAGTGGGCTAAATGTATTTATACAAGAAGCTCTGTTATGTGTCTATTTTGGAAATTCTTTGATTTCTTGGAAAAATAAAAAGTAAGACACAGTTTCCAGATATTCTACTGCTACTTGTGAAGTAATGTGGATTCTTAATTTGTATTTTGATTTGGGTGTTAAAAACTTGTTTCCGGTAAAGGTTTTTTGTGATAATGATTCTGCAATTAAGTTGGCTCTTAATCCAGTTTTTCATGAAAAGACAAAACATTTTGAAGTAGGTGTTTATTTTGTAAGAGACAGAGTTTCAAAAGGGATTTTGAAAATTGATAAGATTGATTCAGAACATCAAAGAGCTGATATTCTTACTATGGCTTTGTGGTCAAAGCAACATGATTTTCTATGTTCTGAATTGGGGCTATATGATATTTTTTTTAAAAAAATAAATAAAACAGTGTATATTTTTTTCTCTCTTTCTCTTTCTCTCTCTCAATGTATATCTTGAGGGGGGTGTTAAAATATAACTATTTATGGTTCAAGATTAGCATTGAATAATTTCTTAAACTGGGTTGAATCTGTAAACTTGAAGAAATGTTTTATTATAAGAATAGAAATAGATTTGTGCTTTTTGGGTATGTTGTGTTTGTTTCAGTGAGTGCAGGGGGGTATAACTTGCTTTTTGTGTAAAAGAGGAAGCACGCAGATCTTTGAGAACGGGTATGGATCGGATATGTTCGGGTTTGGTTTGTGGATATTACCTAAGGTATATATGTTTTCTCAACTGTGTTATTTGGGATCATTCAATTCATTTTACCGTCACACACAAATTGAGAGTCTCTGTTCTTGATTCATCTTCATCTTCTTTGTTTTAGGGTTTGTTCTAGTTTTAGAGTCAGATTTCTGTTAGGCTTGTTCTGTAAACTAAATACTCTTTTAATTGTTATGTATGTCTGAGTGTGAGAGTTAATGTAGTGAGTTT